CCCGAAACGAAAACACCTCACCCTGATCGTTTCCGTCTGATTTCCTAGATCCTATGGTCCTGCGCTTACGAATGCATTCATTGGGGTGAGCAAAACCCATCTTCAATTTATTTGATTATCTTGTAACTGAAATATATATATATATATATATATATATATATATATATATATATATATATATTATTTTATTATCTGCTATGCAGCCTATAATCTTTATCAGTCCATGAGATCTCAGCCACAGAAATGGGAGAGACACCATCAGATCCACACCGTCCAGCTGTCTACTGTATGAAGTATATACACATAATTCGTGTAGGCCAACATTAAACCCTTTAAATTCCATCAGTAGCGGAGAAATCTGACCCAATCAACGGTCCAGGTAAATCTAACCATTTTTCAGCATAAACTGAAAATCCACACCTCATGGAGACCTCACTCTGTGCATTTTGCAACTTCGCATCAGCATTCGGCAGCTGAGAAAGTCCAAAATTACCTAAAAGGGCTTCTCTCTTTGCATCTCTGGTATTCAGGCTCTTGTCTAGAACGCGCAGAGGCTGAGTACGAGGCTTTGTTTAGCGAAGTTTTGGGTTCTACAGTTGGAAAGGTGGAGTTTTTGCATCTGTATTTTGGTTTTCGAGAGAGATTGGTGGGCTATGGAGGCTTATAAGAAGTGGGTTAGGGAGAACAAGGATTATGTGCACTCGTTGGAGTCTCTGGCCAATGTGAGCTATCTCAATTTCTATAAATTTCACTACTTTATTACTTGATGATTATCAATTTATGTGAGTTTATCGGCATACGGTTCGCTTTTTCTTGTTTATTGGTTTGTCTATGCCGTTTGGTTAACTGGGTTTTTTTCGGTGAAATGGTTAACTGGGTTTCCAATGATCTTAGACATGGAGAAATATGATAAAGGCAATCTTTAATAGTATTGTAAATTTGAATTCAGCGGTAAGTGTTAACTGATATGCTGTTGACAATTTTTTTTTTCCCTTTAAAGACATGGCTGTTGACAATTGACATGTATACTTTTTTAATAAACAAAATAATAATTTGCTGAAGCAATTGATTGACACATATACTTTGGAATCGGTGCTTATGCGTATACTTTCGGAGTCTCGGGCTAATGTAGTTCATTAAGAAGAATCACTCGCAATTATTTTGTACTCCTGTATAGTCTTTTGTATTGTTAATTTTACTGTCTGTCCTTTTTGGTTTTCTTCTTCTTCTTTTTTATATTATCCATGTGTGGGTTTTCTTTATCAGCAATGGTAACTCATAATTGGATAAAATTCATGGAATGACTGCCCTTCAGTTGTGTTATATTTTAAAATTTTGTTATCTTATCTGAATGTTGAAAATTTGTACAGGGATTCACATGGCTTCTCCCCGAACGGTTTTCTGAGTCAGAGATAGGACCAGAAGCAGGTTTTTTGAAATTTTGGTAACATTTGGCTACTTCTTGTTATAGCTTAGAAATTGGCAGGGATTCTTTCTTTTACATAGTAATTATATGATTTTCTCTGGAGTAATTATAACTTTATAAAAGTAACTTTGGTTGCTAAAATGAATGAAAGTTATCAAAATTTACAACAAAAAAAGAATTTGAAATTCACACGTAATGAACAATCTTAGATTTTTAGGAGACTTATGATGAGAGCAGGTCGTTTGCTTTTCTGTTTTCTGAATAATGAACAATCTTGACATCATATTTAAATTTTCTAACATTTATCTTGTCAATTGAATAAAATATAACTAATGTATCATTCTGATTTGTACTTTTCTTGACCGTGCATGTGTTTGTAAATACATATCAATGCAATGAAGAAATTGGTAATTTTTGGTTTAATATGACTTCTGCAGTAACTGCTCTCTTTGGAGTAATAACTGCTATCAATGAACATATCATCAAAACAGCTACGCCTCCAATGCATTTTGGCTCTGCTGAGCGTTATTCTTTTCCTTATGCATTGTGTATATCTGCACTAAAGGACTTGGAAACGTTGGTTGAAGTTGTGGCTCAACAGTATTTTGGTGATGAGAAAAAATG